GGAACAAGCCAAGGGGTAGCATATTCGGAGAACGACGTGTGGGTAACGGACAAGCTCAACATTAGTAGTTGGCATTGGGACCTTGTTGGATTTTGCAACCACAAAACTTGGCCGGTGCCGATAATACAATTACAACCACACGAGAAGTCGAATACGTACTTCTGGCCGGTCATCATTTCCAAACTACCTAACAATAATGTAACCATTTTTGTCAATCATATATTGATTCAATCGAATAGATAGTTACATCATGTAATTTAGCCAGGTCATGAAATCAAATGAATGATTCGTAGTCGGGTATAAAAAGAGGGTCATTCTAGCCACTGTATGGGCTACCCTATTACTCTGCCGACCTATAAACCGAACACTCAACCCCGGTTGGAGTACAAAATACTGCACGACTTCTTCAAGAACACCACCAATCTGATTATCTCTGGCATTAGCCTGAGTGATTTTATCAATAATCACCTTAGCATCACCTTCAAATCTTACATCCGTGAAGCCGTATTCTAGGCACCATAAAATAGCCTCACAGAGTACAAGCAGTTCCACCACCAAGGGGTCCTCAATCGTCTGAAATTGAACCCCCTGAGCCATAAGGATCTCCCTAGCCGGGTTTATAAGAACCATCCCACCTGCCGAATGAGACTCACTTCTAGTAGCCCCATTCTACATACAAACAACCTTATTAGTCCCAACCGGACTCAGGTGCTGCACCATAGGTAAAGAAGGCTGAGAAGCCCGGTCCAACGTCATACTTACCCATTCCTCATATTGATGCTTGAACGGGCGCATCAAAGTAGGGATCCCAAACTGTTTGCCTTCAAAGACAACCTAGTTGCGTGACCGCCAAATCCGCCAGAGGATGGCGACAACCGCCATGAACAACGGCGGTTGATGGATTAAAGCCAGCAGCCTTTTAAGAAAGAGTGGGAAAGTATGGCGAGGCAATCCCTCCGTGTAAAATAGAGTAAATCGCGGAAGCAAAATACAACGATATATGTGGTTTCCCCGTTCAGTATGAACGAGACTACTCCACGGTGAGCCGAAACTCGAGTCAATCTTATTAGCCGCAGCTTGTCTGCTGTACTCGGCTCTAACTCACAGCCGAAGCTAACATCACTTCCCTTTTATACTCTACGTGAGCGTTAGGGTTATGATGGACAAATACATAATGGTCCTCTAAAATAATGACACGTACAAAAGATATCACACATTTCTACACTCCCCTCAAGCTTGAGCATGCAGGTCACGAACGCCTAGCTTGGACATCAATGTGTGAAACTGCTCGATTCCCAAGGCTTTCGTGAAAATGTCTGTCAGCTGCGAAGTAGTTCCAATCTTCTCTGGCTTTATCTCCTGTGATATTACGCGCTCCCGAACAAAATAGCATTCCATCTCAACATGCTTGGTCCTCTTGTGGAATACTGGGTTTGCTGCAATGTGAAGTGCAGCTTGATTATCACAGTAAAGCAACGTAGGACCCTGTTGAGCAACTCCCAACTCTTCAAGAAGAAATCGCAGCCACAACACCTCACTGATTGTGCTTGCCATCGACCGGTTCTCTGCTTTGGCTGAAGAGCGCGACACGACCTTCTGTTTCTTTGTTCTCCATGAAACCGGCGCTCCGCCAAGTTCGATGTAATATCCCGTAGTAGATCGCCTAGTCATTTGACATCCTACCCAGTCTGCATCGCAATAAGCTCTTAGCTCCAATCGTCCAGACGATGAGAAAAATATTCCTTGGCCTGGGGACGTCTTCAAGTAGCGCAAGACTCGTTTTGCCGCTGCTACATGCTCCTGTTTTGGACAACCAACAAACTGAGACAATATATTCACAGCATAAGAAATATCAGGTCGTGTTACCGTCAGATATAGGAGGCGTCCTACTAGTCGCCTGTAGCCGTTTGCATCATTGGTTGCTTGATCACTCGGCCTCGTCAGACCATGATTCTGCTCCATGGGAAAACTGCTCGGACGAGCTCTTGTAAGACCCGCGTCATTGCGTATGTCCCGTGTGTATTTTCTTTGGTTAAGCACAATCCCATCAGCCACTCTTGCCACCTCAATGCCGAGAAAATATTTTAGATTGCCCAAGTCTTTAATGTTGAATCTCACATCAAGAAACGTCTTTACCTTTTGAATAAACTTTGTACTGTTACCAGTGAGGATCACATCGTCAACGTATATCAAGGCTATCACAAATATATCACCCTGTCGATAGATCAACAGGGAATGATCCGCCCGTGAGGGCTTGAAACCCAACTCTGAAAGAGATTGCGTAAATTTTTTATACCAGTTTCGTGAGGCCTCCTTCAACCCGTAGAGAGATTTTCTTAACCTGCAAACTCAGTTATCTCCTGGCTTTGAAAACCCCTGCGGAATTTGCATATACACTTCCTCCTCCAAGTTGCCAAGCAAAAAAAGCATTATTCACATCCAGCTGGTGAAGATCCCAACCTTGTTTAACTGCCAATGCTAGGAGAACGCGCACCAGTTGACCACTTTGGAAACTGGTGCGAACGTGTCATGGAAATCGACACCTTCGAGCTGTGTGAACCCTTTTGCCACGAGACGCGATTTGTAGCGCTCAAAAGTTCCGTCTTCCCTATACTTATCTTGTATACCCATTTAGCACCTATCGCCCTCATACCCTCTGGCAGTGTCTCTAAGGTCCACGTGCCATTCGCCACTAACGCGTCAATCTTCCTCTGCATGGATTCCCTCCAGCATGCATGCTTAACAGCCTCAGCAAATGTTTTAGGCTCTGTGATCTTGCTGATGGCGGTGAGGTAAGCGCGATACTTAGATAAAAAATGGTTATATCCCACGTGATTCGCCATTGGGTATGGTGTCGTCTCCTCATGTTGTCCACAAGATGGCGAGGTGGACGCTTGTCTCGAGTCCCACGCCTCAAAACAGGCTCCTCTGATGGCGTTGCACTTCCCGCGTCATGTTGCTGTGGACTTTCTTCATGCTCCTGATGCTCGTGGCTCTCACTACAGTCATCAAAATCCTCTTCCTCATCGTGATCTGCACAAATATTAGTTTGTAGGTCCATGGGCTCATAATTTTCAATGAATTGCTCGGTGCTTCTTGTATTCTTCAAGGCTTCATTTGGATGTTCATTTTCTCGAAATGGGAACACGTCTTCGACAAAATGAACATCCCTTGAAGAATATATCCACCGAGAGTGAAGGTCAAAAACACGAAAACCCTTTTGAGAACCTGGGTATGTGACAAACACACAAGGTCTCCCCCTCTTGACGAACTTGTCAAGACCATGACGTGTGTCTTTGTCACATACTAAACACCCAAAACTGCGAAGGTGAACATAGGGTGGAGGTCGACCCGTGAGGACCTTGTATGGGGTTTTGTGGTCGAGAACACGGGTCGTCAGCCAATTTATCAAGTAGCTGGCCGTTACAACACACTCGCCCCAGAAGCGGACAGGAATTCCGGAGTGAAAACGAAGGGCACGAGTTGTTTCGAGAAAGTGTCTATGCTTGCGTTCGACAATGCCATTCTGCTGAGGCGTGTCAACGCAGCTGGTTTGAAGATGAATCCCACGATCTTCATAATATTCTCGCAGAGTGCGGGTCTGAAACTCCAACCCATTGTCGGCCTGAATCCGGCGGACGCTAGTACGGAACTAAGTTTCAACCATATGACAAAAGAGACAAACATAACGTTTGACATCTAACTTGTATTTTAGCAAGTAAATCCATGTGGCTCTGGTATAATCATCCACCACGGTTAAAAAATAATGCAAACCATCCATAGAAGGGGTACGATAACCACCCCAAATATCCATGTGTACCAATTCGAAACAAGCGCGAGTATGTATGGAATGCGTAACAAAAGGTGCTCTGGTCTGTTTGGCACGGAAGCAGGAATCACAATGGCGATGTTCAAGATTCAAATCCGAAATTCTCAAAGGAATACATAAAGAAGACAATGTTGATGCCGACGGATTCCCCAGACGGGCATGCCAAAGCTCCACAGGCTGCTTGCCAGCCGCCGCAAAGACAGAAGGAATTCGGTCGTCTGTAGCCTTGAAGTCCCCAACATGGCGGAGATAGTATAGATAGTGTAGCCTTGAAACCCCAAACCTCGATTTTCGATCTCAAACACCTTCTCTTCCAAGGGGAAGTCTGGATCACTTTCAGATCCGTCACATTTCCTTTTTCTGCTAATCCACAATCTGGATTTGCTTGTAATTATTTTGTGGGATCTCATACTTTGTTTGGAAGCTTCAATACCGAGCCTTACCGACTGTGCGTTTCTGCATCGATTACCCGAACGTCTCTTGAGTATCCCTGGGGCAGTCTTGCACCCTTTGAATCGCATCCACACGACATATCCCTAGCCTCCATCGACTCCATGGTTTTGCAGGCTAGCTTCAAAGATTGCAAGCACCACCGAGAGGAAACATCGACTAACCAGGATACCGAATCTCTAAAGAGAGGAGAGAGCATCCAAGACATATTTTTCGAATTACCACAGTTTTTTGTAAGATAGTTAAAGCCATAACAATAAGGACAGATGAATTTTCTACTGAACACATTTAAAGCCTTACATTTTCAGTAGACCTAAGTGTCTAGTCTCTAACAGTTCAAATTGCCACTAGAACAACCTGTTGCTGACAACCATCTACAAACAATTTCCTACAAAAATGAGTTGTTGGCTTATTGCTCTACTATCCCCAGAAAGGTTCTTATTTAGGGGTCGTTTGGTAGTTGTGATTGTTAGAGTTTTGTTTATTGAATACATGCATTGTGCACAATACAATGTTTGGAAGTGCCAAAATGTAAAACAATGCATGTATTGTTTCAGGTAGGTCCCACCAACAATCACAAAAAATCATGCATTATACAATCTTAACTAAAAGTTGAGATTGTTGTGGTTGTTGATTTTAGATTTGTGTCTATTTTTTCTTTTTATTTATATCCCTATTAGTTTTTGTCTTATACTAAAAATTGAGGATAAATGTGACATTTCCCCATAAAGTAACTTTATGCAAGTCAATACATAAAGTAGAATCTCAACAACCAAACAATATATTATTGCAATGCATCCATTGTACCAATACATGTATTTATTTTGTTGTGATTCATTACAATTCAACGATTTAACATTCTCAACTTCCAAACGACCCCTTAGTCTATATACTCTATAGTCAATACACAATTGCATCGATTCCGTCACATGCCATAAAATGTTCATCAGACCAGAATAGAGAGAGGCCACCACATCTGGACCATCACTTTCTACTGCTAAAGTTCCCTCAAGCTATCTAACAAAACCACATCACTCACCCCCTTTTCCCAAATTTCAATTCTCTCAACTTCAAACCCGCCCACTTGCATTTGTGGTTCTCCTGCTTTTCTGTGTCCCTTTTCCCCATTTCCCCTTTCTCGACGCAAACAAACTCCAGCTGTCTGACAGAAAAAAGAGTGATGTCAAACAGATCTAGTGTAGTGTTCAAACTTCAAAGGGGGGAAACAAAAAAGGTATTGGGCCCGAAGTTAGGCTTTCCAATAACATCTACCACAGTTTAGCTTGGGCCGCAAGCCCACTAACGGTGTATGTAATTTTTATTTTTTTCACAGGCTGATAAATTCGATTATGGGAAAGAAATGAACCAAGAGAAAACAGGCAGAGATGAACGAGAGAAGACACCAAATTGGAGTCCTTTTTCCTCCCTTTTCCTTTCATTCAATTTTTGGAGCGAAGATTAATATTTTTGACAGTTTCGTTTTAGTTACTTTTTCCTCATCATCATATTCCAGAGACGAGTCTTTCCTCTAGAACAATGAATGAACACAAACCCAGCCCCCCTCTGAATTACCCTTTTTCATTTTTTTTTTTTTTACCCCTACTGTACACTACCAAAATTATTACTTCCCTTCCTGTATAGAACAACCGATTGATAAAAAAAAAAAGCAACTAAACGACATCTTCTAATCCTTCCTTCCGTTCCCAAATTTCACCCATTGATGACCCAGACGACAAACTCTGCTGACTGCTAATGTCCAATTGCAACGGAGTGCCATTCCACTTACTCATGGCGTCTTCTTCTTCTTCCCGCTTTAATCGACCCTGCTAATCCCAATTCGCTTAACCACAGCGTTACTTATGGCTTCCGCCTGGAAACACATCCCCTTCTGCTCAATCCCGGACATGTAACTCCTCACTTCCTTCCTCACCATCTCCTGCATAACCGCCAGAAACTCCGGATTGAAAAACTGCTTCTCGTACCCCAACTCCCCCTTCTCTTCACCCGCCGCCTCCTCCTGCTGCACTGCCGGAGCTGGCACCGGCGGTGGTAGTGCAAGGATGGGAAATTGGGGGGCTGGCACCGGTGGTGGTAGTGCGAGGATGGGGAGTTGAGGGGGATTTGTCGGGCTACCAGATCCGAGACCCGACCCGGATCCGGACGTGGTCAATTGGTTCGGGTTTTCGGGCGGGTCGGATCCTGGCAGAGACAGGCTGAGCGAGGTTGGGGGATCCCTTATCGAGGGAGAAGGAGAACTCACATCGATGGAGAGAGTAGAAGGGATCAACGACGCCGTCCTGGCCAGCGGGCGGTAGACAGGGGAGGAAGAAGCATTGTTACCGGGAAGACTGGAGTCGCTGAGCTCGGATCCGGAGGGGCTGTTCGGGTTCAAGTAGAGACCCGAGAAATTGGTCCCGGCGCCGAGGCTGGCGGATCTCTTGAGCGGCTTTTCGTCGGGGGAATCCAAATCCTCGGTCATCGAAGAGCATTTTCTCTTGAGGGTGGAGTTCCAGTGGTTCTTGATCGCGTTATCAGTGCGGCCGTTGAGGAGGCGGGCGATTGTGGCCCACTTGTTTCCGAACCGCGCGTGAGCCTTGATGATTGTGTCGTCCTCTTCGGGGCTGAACGGCCGGTGCTCGACCTCAGGGGAGAGCTGGTTGCACCAACGCAACCGGCACGATTTCCCCGACCTCCCGGGGATCGATTTGCTTATGAGAGACCAGTTTCTCGGGCCGTAGCTCTGGACCAGTCGCTGTAGCGACTCGTCTTCCTCGGGGCTCCATGGACCCTTGATCCGTTCAGCTTCTTTTCTAGCCGCCATGGATTTGAGTATACAGAAGGGGGGGAAAAACCCTAACGAAGGAAGGAAGAGAGAGAAGCAAGGAATTTACAGATTAAGAGATAGAGTACGCCGGGAGAGAGGCGGTGGCGATTGTGGTGGCGGTGGTGGAGGCGGCGCCTCACCTTTTGGATTGTGTGAGAGGAGAAGAGGACAGAGAAGGGAAGCGAAGAAGGAGGGTTATTTATATGGTTAGCGGGTAGGGATAAGGATGACCGGTTGGAGCCGGTTAGGGTTACCGGTGGTAGCCGTTTGGAAAAGGGGATTCTTCCAGGCAAGGCAGTTACTAGTAAACAGCTGTCAAATGGACACGCGTCGACTTTCCGCGCCTTCAAAACTACACGTATAAACGCTCCCTCTCAGCCAGAAAAACAAAACAAACATGTATTCCTATTTCCTTCTGTAACTGGCTTTTTCTTGCATTAATATTTTTTTTTCCCCACCAGCGGTTACTCAGCGATAATACGGCTCCTCCACTTCACACAGTCAGGCAACAGTAAATATTTTTGTAACGAGAATAGAATTATAGTTTTGAAAATAAATTATTTTTATTATTATAGTAATCAAGAATTATTTTTATCATTATAGTTTTGAAATTAAATTGACAATTCATGGTAATACTGATGAATTTTATTGAGAAATTATATCAGTGGAATATACTGATTATATTTAATAAATGATATTAATCAATTACCAGGAAAAAAATTATATTAATCAAATTACCAATAAAATATTATTTTAGCAACTCATATAGTATGATTTCTACCAGTAATACACAAACCATAAATGTAATGCAACGGTTAAGTAGGTGGGGAGTTGAAGTTTGAAAAGGGCTGTGCAGTTAGTAGAACATGACTACATGAGGATGGGTGACCAATCAAATAACGGTAGCAGTTACGGCTAATTTAATTTTCGAGTAATGAAAGGAAGGTCAAATCATCGGCCAAAAATATCAGGTATCGTTATATATATGGTAAATTTTGGGGAACCACCGTTTTGGAAGTTAAAAAGGGTAAAAATTCGACCGGTGAAGGGGGTAAAGTTTTGTCAGAAGAGAGAGGGGAAATAGAGAAAAAAACCGTGCGGGGAAGGGAACGGTGTGAAACTGTGAATTGAGGGAGACGCGATTCTTATGCTGATGACGGGGAAATTAAAAGTTAATTATGCAGTTATAAGAAAAACAAAGTTAATTATTCAGGTTTGATGAAAGAAGGGGGAAATAGTAGTAGTGTAGTGTACGGGTGGAGGAAAGGAGCGGGGCGGAGGGGATGAGTTTGACCGAGACAGCCTGGATAGCATTTACGTTAATATACGCCTTTTCTTTTTCAGTTTTTTCAACTTTTATTTAATAATAATAATTATTATCTTTTTTTGGTTTGGGTGGGAGAAAAGGACGCACGGAGGGTGGCTGAGCTGGCGCAGTAAACGACAAAAGCATGGGGGGAAGCGAAGCAAAGCAGAGAAGAGAGAAGAGAATCGGGGGTCGGGGGTAGTAGTGGAAATTGGTTAATGAATTTCCATAAAAAAAAAAAAAAACAAAAAGGGAAATGTTAGTTTCTGGTAGACGAGAGGCCAGGCTGTCAAACAAACTAGGTTGCCCCACCTTTCACTTAACTTGAAACCACCAGTCAGTCAGTCAGTCAGTCTCACTCAGTCCACCTCTCTCTCTCTCTCTTGTAACGGCCTTACCTTACTTTCCCGATAACTTTTAACCACCACCACCGGTGCCCCGCCACCTCCACCTGTCCTTCAGATTCCCTTTTTCAACTTTCTGACGTCAGCTTCGTCGACGATGAGGAGGCGGAGGGCCGGAGGCTTACTTGCACGAGGATTAGAGTCAAACCCAAACCCATTTGACGGCTACGTATCTCAACTTCTAAACTCTCTTGCCTTCTTCCATGAGCTGAGGTATTTAGCGGGCGTTTAAGTGTTCACTGCTGAAATAATTTGGGCTGGGCCGCGCGCGGTCGCTGGTTTTGGAATAGGCCACCTTGTTTAATTCAAAAAGTGAATAGATATTTGATTTAGCATACATAGAAGCATTAAGTAATTTGAGTTAAATATATGTTATATGAAATCATACAAAATGGGTTGATATATAGTGACGACATATTGATCTTGGCCACAAGGAAGAAGTAGTAGAGAAAACTTCACCGGTAAAAATTCGAATGGACATAGCTATGAACGCAGGGAGGATAGTCGAAATTCATATCAATTTTGGGATTTACAAGTTTTAGTATGCGCTCAATGGTATCAATCAATTTGGATTCTAACTTTTAAGCGAGCTATAGTCCCAAGGAAGCCGAGATTTTGGAGTTGGGGGTTGAAATTCGGATAATTGCACATACTTTTTTAGTTGTTTGGTATTTCTTTTAGTAGTTCAAAATGTAGTTTTGTCGATATAAGTAAATATTGATGAATCAAAACAAAATAAATATTGAATATACGATAATAAATACTAAAGAACATGTGATTAAGTTTTAAAGAAAAGGGAATTTTTTCCCCTGAAAAGTGAAAACATCTCTTTAATGCTTAAATACGAAATGAAAGAGACTGTGGTTGGAATCAAACTGGGGTAGTAGTCTCACTACTTGAAGTCATTCATTACCAGTAGACTAAGGCATTGGAGATGTCTCAATAGTACGCGAGTAACCCATTATATCGTGAAGAATACCAATATTAAGGGGTCGTTTGGATGTGGTAATATAACGTGGGAATTGAGTCCAATTCCAACATAATGCAGTAATTGAATTAAAATCCTACGTTTGGATAAGAAAAAGTGATGTGGTAATTGGACAGAAAACCCACATTCGTGGGAATTGAAAATATGGCACCTACCCCCGGAATTGTCTGATTCCCACATTTTGTTTCTATTTATCCCAATTATATCCCTCCCTCCTTCATTCCTTTCTCTATCCCTAAACCCTCTTCTTCCTCATGACTATCGGCTGTAGCGTCTTGTTCTTTTTCAATTATAATTGAACAACTCTAGCATCTGGATCAATCAACGACTTGGAGCTTAGATAAGAAGAATCGAATACCCTCCTTGTTTGTTGGTCGCCAACGAGAGAAGGAAGAAGGTCCCGGATGACATACTGCGTGAGATTCATGAAGGGTGTTATGTGGCATGAAGAGGAAGAACGACGCGAAGCTCAAAGAGGAAGAATCAAAATCTGACTTTGTTTGGTAGTCGTCAGCGAGAGAAGAAGCCTCTTGATTTCCTCTTCCTTTCTCCTTCCCTGTTGCTACGAGAATTCCAACAATTAGTAAGGTCTACTTGTGTTGTGCTGCTCTTGTTGCTGCTACTGCTACTGCTTATGCTGTGGTGCTCCTGCTGCTTTCCCGTTGTTGTGTTGTTGCTTCTGCTCTTGCTATACTATTGCTATGATGTTGCTCTTGTGCTTCTTCTGCCTCTACTTTATCACTGGTTGGCACCAAGAATTGGGGGATTATATGGTGGAGGGCTTAGAGTGGATAGGGATGGGACTACTATTAGTGTTTTGCTTTTCTTCTTTGTATTAGTATTAGAGAGATGGGGATTGAAAACAAAAATTTAGGATTGATTTTCCTGGAAGTTGTGGATCGATTATTCTTGAAGTTGTGTGTTCGTTAGAAGCTCGTATCATATGTAAAGGGGCAAATTGGTACTCCAATTAAATGCAACACTATCAATTTCCACACTGTTCAGCTCATTCCAAACATGGAATTTCGGTCAAATTCCACAAGTTAATTCCCAGGTTTTCTATAACGTGGAAATTAAGATCAATTTCCACATTCTCAAATTTCCACATCCAAACCTCTTCCCAAACTGTACAAGCTTCTTCTTGGTTTGATCAAGCCGCGGAGTATTGGAAACAAGCTATAGCACTTACTCCTGGAAATTATATTGAAGCGCAGAATTGGCTGAAGATCACAAGGCGTTTCGCATAATATATGAACACCTTTTTTTAGTAATTCTTATTTATTACATCTGTTCTTTAGTATTTCTTCCATTTTTCATCATGGATATTAATTATTACAATTTTTTATTATTTTTTCGTTGTTCGCCTTTTTTCATTAAATACACGAGGGTTGCGCTCGTTGCGGGACTTAACCCACCACCTTACGGCACGAGCTGACGACAGCCATGCACCACCTGTGTCCGCGTTCCCGAAGGCACCCCTCTCTTAAGAGTACAAGCCGGATTATGTGACTTCCCTCATGATCACCTCACACCATAATAATGGTACATGCAATCGTTTGTAGTCACCTTGATTTATCTAATGAAGTTGGACAAAGGACACTATGTTTTAAATGTCTTGATATGCTTACTTTTACACAATCTGGTCATATGAATGTAGGATAAAAGAATTTGAATGTTCAAATGACCCATCAAGACTCTGGCCACGTAGTAAAAGTGACCAAAACAGTGGTCCATGACTTGAAGGGACCATTAGTACTCCAAATTGAAAATAAAGAACCCCAGAGACGACACAAAATCCTGTTACCCATTAATACTTGAGCAGTGAGCTACCCTTAGCAAATACCTAGTAGCTGCTGATCTAGCAAATAAGTACTCCCTCATACATGCCTCCTAATAAGCCCTACCAACCACCACCATTGAAGAATCTGCAGGCAGAGCAGTAGGTAATTACAAGCTATGTTCCTTTCTCCTCTCTTGTTGGGCAGCTGAGCATGTTGCGGTTAGTTAAACCGTGTTAGTATTGGGCCTTGTTGGGACTTGTCCTAGTTGTGGTATTATGGTTTTAACCTAGGTTTATCTATATAAGCTTAGCTATCGACTTGTGTGATAGTAAGCCGTCAAAATGTAAACCTGATAAGAAGTCAGCCGTGAGCTCTTCAGAGCTCACTGTGGATTAGTCTCGTTTAATCAAGAACGAGGATACCTCGTAAAATCTATTATGTTCTTTTCATTCCGTGTTATCAAATTGTACAGAGCATACATACATATATTATATTATTATTACAACTAGATCTGCCCAAAGGTGGGGCTGTGGGCATGCTATTGTGGCCTGCCTTTAAGCAACAACTATAATGCTTTGGATTCTCACAATCATGCCCTACTGGAATGGAACTGTTTCATCATCCCATCCCATCCCATCCCATCCCATCCCATCCCTAAGGGAAATAGAGAAATAAGCAAAGGACCATTGGCTGGT